TGGCTGTAGATAAAGGTAATGAGAGTACCATCATCTATATTCATTCCATTCTTTTGACCATCACCGGTACATGTTATATTGTTCTTTCACCACTGTACGAAGGTTTTAAGCTTTTGCACTTGTGTTCATCCTAATTCGAAATACTAACTTATTCAACAGAGAATGACTACATGTGGTCTTAATCTTCATGTCTAACATGAGCTGTAGAAATTATCATGACAAGATCCTTCTTTCTTCTAGTTGTCTTTTAAGGAGCTAAAACAAAACTGAAAAGGCTTCAGAAGTTCTTACATTAAAACCGCTCAATTCTCATGCTAGTCAGCTAAAGTATGCGAGTCGTGAAGTTCGATTCAGCTGTTGAAAGTTCACAGTTATGTTCATCAAGAAATAAGAGGCTAAGTACTACTCGAAGCTTCTCATGACGAGCAATTGATATATAAGTGCTTATATATATATATACGTATATATCGTAGTAGTGTGTGAAAATGTCATCGGTTTTTCCAGGTGTGTCACAACAGGGCGTTCGCGTAGTGGTTTCTCTACAACTGGGAAAATTGTAATTTTCTTAATCAGATCTTACAAAACTTTGAACTTTTTCTATTCAACGTTTCAATTCGACGATGACAAACATGGACAGATGTTTATCTGTTTCACATCGTGATCGTATATAGACAACCATTGAATTTTTCTTCAATTGAACCGACACTAAAAGAGATAAATCAGTAGTTTATGTAACTCAAAATCTTAAGCAACTTCAATAGCAGATTCGGAAATGTAATCGTTTCACAGTTTCTGCAACGAAAGTATTTTCAATCAAGTTTGATAGTGCTGACTCCATCGGTAATTAATATTGCCTGGCTATGTGCATTGTGGAAATGTTTTACTTTTACTCAGTGATAAAAGAGCCTTGAAAATTTTCATTTCGCGAGGCAAAAACGCTTGTTTTTTACATTAAGAAGTCATTTTTACCAATATTTTCCACCCTGAGATTGATAATGGGCTTTCACGAAATGGAAGATTCTTTGAAAAAAAAGATAATTAGTGAATTCAACCGCTTCCTCTCACGTATTATATAATCTGATTTGGATCAATTTCTGAGCACTCGACTAGTTCAAAAGCTTTTAAGCATTTTAATTATCTTTAATTATAAGCTTTCTGTTTTGGTATCTTCTATATTTTAGGTGCCACAGGTATTCAAATTTCAGTGAAAGAACAAACGACTATTATCCGTTATCAGAAGGCTGCTTTTTCCGCGTCAATTCATTTCACAGCAAGTTAACTCTTTAGTTGCTAATCAATTGCCACATTTCATTCGTTCATAGGCTACCACATATGATATTACTTTGGGTCTAAGTTACGACATGATCGCAAGGTCGGAAGGTCTGTGCAAAACACCGGCTACTTTGTGTGAACTCGAAACAGGGGTGCACCTCGAATCGAGACATCGCCGTCAGACAACATCGAAATCATTATTTGCCAATACGGATCAAGTGGCATGTATCACAAGTAAAAAGGCACCTCAAATATGCCAGTTGTTCGTGGATGAAGCAGTCAAAGATGTACGAACCCGTGTGGGCGTAACTCAGTATGATTCGACAGCATTAGCAGGCATTGTTCGTGCATGTATCAATGATCTCGAGCTGACTGGAAATAGCGCAGTATGTAATACCGAATTTTTTATTATTATTCTCAATTAGCTCCTGTTTTCAAGTTTGCGATGAGTGGTCAACAAGCTATCATCCAGAGAGTAATCGGACAATTGGTGGCTCCAAATGTAAGTTCTGAACATTTATAAATGTAATACACTTCTTGATGATTGTGAACAGGCAACGTCCCAGTCTTTGTCGAGTCGGTCGATGGTGACAGATTTGGTTTCTTTGTCATCAGATTTGAGTTCAACCAGTGGAAATGAGGCTTCTGCTCAGCTCAAAGCTCTACTGAACACCGCGATAAGTACAACAGCACCTGGTAATCAGGGTTCTATCATCGCTAGCGTCAATAGAGAACCATGGATGCTAATTCCTATTCGGTACTGTTAGTATTGGTTCATTTTTATTGCTTCGTTCTTACTATTTAATTACCAATAAACATTGAAATCGACAGGATTTAAGCCACTTCGATAGTATTTTTTTTCAACCTTCGCCAGGCTTGATCATCAATATATTCTTCATTTCAAGAAGAGTGCGGGTGGGTGGGTCAGGGTCGGGATGCGTGTGTGGGTGAGTGTGGGTTGGTGTTGTTCTTATTTCACCCACACACACCCATGAAACTATTAATGAGGGTGTGGGCCTTCTCTTGTGGCAGCCACATCCATACCCACACCCATCAGTACGCCATATGGATTTTTGCAATTGAGAAATTTTGCTTTGATAGAGTCGGTTTCAAGAGAACTTATTAAACAATTTAGATTGACTCAATAACTCAGCATAAAAATAGAATTTTTATCTACAATAATATTATTCCGTATTACAACTGTGAAAAAGTGGTTTTCTAGTGTTACTAGGGATTATTGTTATTAATATAAGGCGATATGAGTCGGACATTTGATTTCGAAAAGTTCGCTATTAATTGGATCATATATTTTTCGAACACTGATCCATCTTATGACGAACTTTCCTAGAGAATATTCTTGACGCTGGACATGTACCACGAAATAGATATTTCCAGATCAGACCTATTTTCAAACTAAAAAAAAAAGGTTATTAAGAGTTTCTGCTCCCACTAGAGACAATTATGTGTTGAAGAAAAATACAATGAAGCATTCGATTTTGGCGATAATAATTATGCCTGGTCGATCGAACTGAAAGGGTCAGAATATGACCTTTTTTTTACGTAATTCATATAGTTGATATCGGTTTTAAACACTTTAACATCCTCTGCTAACCCAGTCTTAGTACAAAAAGAATAATCTTGAAACCAGAAGGGGTAGAGTGTGGGTGTGGGTGTGAGTGTGGGTGTGGGTGTGAGTGTGGGTGTGGGTGTGGGGTGTGTCGGTGTGGGTGTAGGCGTGGGTGTGGGTGTGGGTGCATATGACGAGAAGTTCAATAAAGGCACACCCAGCAACGCCAACACCCACATCCACACCCACACCCACACCCACACCCACACCCACACCCACACCCACACCCACACCCCACACCCACACCCACAGCCACACCCCACACCCACTCACACCCACACCCACCCACACCCACACCCACACCCTCAAGATGTACCACCATATTTATTGATTTTTTTAATATAACATGACCAACAATCTAAGATGTACCACCATTTATTGATTTAATAATTACCATTTTGTTATTGTTTCTCTAAAATAGAGAACATATAATATAATATGTACCATGTCAATAGTTGCTTTTTTGATTTAATGTAATACGTACATGAATTAGGGTGTGGGTGTGGGTGTCACACCCACACCCCACACCCACACCCACACCCCATCTTAGATTGTTGGTCATGTTATATTAAAAAAATCAATAAATATGGTGGTACATCTTTGAATGTTTGATCATGTTGATGTTATATATGTGATACAACGGGATTCTGCTCGTGTTAAATAATAAAAATAAAATTAAAGAAATGAATCATAACATCATCATTAACATTACAATTTTATGATAAATAATGACAATAAGAAATCATTTTGTTCAACATCTGTTCCGACGATGGCCTTGCCATGGCCGAAAATTCAACAAAAGTCAATTGATATACATCTAGAAATAAAATAAAAAATAAAAAACAAATGATTAGATTGGTCATAAACATTACCCTATGACTATTACAAATAAAAATAAAAATAAATAAATAAGAACTTTAATTCTTATATAAGTCATTGGATTTATATTTTCAAGAAATCTATTATGCTGCATTATATTAATATAAATCTCTTTTATTAAATAAAAAATTCCATGTCTTTATGATTATTAAAATTAATTCATCTACGTATTACATTATTAATCCAATATCAGTGAATTTCAATCGGATTTCACCGTTGGAAATGATCTTTGAAACATAGTGTATCATGGATTGTCAGACGTTCTGTTTATTGATGAACAATGTTTAATTGAAGGTAGAATATCATTGGGTAGAAAATATAAAATGTAAATTTTCATCGCAGTGTAGAATTTTATTTCATATTCAAATGTCTCCAAGGTTGAATATCACATAGGTTTACAATTGAATAGTATTGTTTCTATTGAACAAGTGTTAATGGAAGATGTCTATCGTAAAAGTACAAAAAAAGCTAAATAGTTTACAAAAGACGATTTGACACTCGTCAGATAATTGAAAGCAAGATGCGACACAGAATCAGAAATAAAATCGAATTTCTTCTGTTCATAAGTGGAGATAAACTAAATATGAATGAGATTTCAAATAGTCGAACAACGTTAAATTACGAGCGAATGGAAAAATAAACATTTTTCTTGTAGCATTCTGAAAGCTTTGTCAGTGCATATATTTCGAATGTTGAATCACTTCAAGAAAGCGATCATCAATATCTGTAAGCGTGTGGCATGCAGTTCTTCGTTGAGGTGGAGGGCTCTCATTTAATTGCATCTTCGGTTCGAGTAAAATGAGGCTTTCATGAAGGACTTTCTATTTACAAAAGATATGAAGACCACACTCACATGATCATATTATTCACCTAGAAGATTCAAGAAAGATAATGTTTTCATATCAATATACGATGCATTTAAACGGACCACACTTTCTTATCTTTCTATTTCATTGTGCGAATTTGATACTTAGCAGAGACCTTATTGAATCGAGTTTTTTCATGTGCACTCTTGACGTTGCCCTGTCTCTATATTGATGAAAAATTTGTTTGCTCTCAATAGACATTTATTGATAATCGTATCGAAAAAAGCTCTTACTACTAAGAAATAAAACTGATAGTAGGATTTATAAGAAATAATGATAATATGTAGGAAAAAGTCAAGTTCAATTTTTGAAAAAAAATAATCAAAGTCCTTTGTGTCGATTAATCCAACATGACTTTAGGAGGGCTAGAATAAAAAAATACATATTTAGTTGTTTTGTGAAGAAAAAACCAGAAGTGTTGCTTACTCTAAAATTCATAATAATATGAATTTGACCATTCGACGATAAACCAAACATTGCCGGTAGTTTGACCCATTCATCAAATTTGCCATCGTCGAAGACATGTTTCAATTTCACTTTGCAATGACCTATTGAATCTCTGCCAACAACATCAGCATCATATACATCAAAATGAATTGTGTCGTCACCCTTGTGAACATTGAACGTAAATCGCTCATTCCATGCTGGATTATTCGTATTGGATATCGTTTTTGTACGTTGTTTGTACTTCTTGTCCATGTAAACTTCGATAAAGGCATCATTTTGGCCGACCATATCCTGGTCTTTCAAGTCTCGTCCTTCAACAACAATCACTTCAAGCGTACCCTCTGGCATTTTACAAAAGAAATCGAATCACTCTGTGTTCTCGGCTAGTAGAAGAATGTTTTTATTCGAAGGTGTGATGGTTGTTTTATATAAGTACGAGAGAAGAGAGAAAAAAAGACTTGATTGTTCTGTCTTTTGCTGTCTTCGTCTTTTTCTTTCATCTGCCGATTTTATTCAATTATCAGTGACTTTGCTCTTGCTATTCGTGCTCGATGACATCTGCGTCAACGAGCACGAGAGAAAACAAGACTTGATTGTTCTGTTCTTTTGCTGTCTTCGTCTTTTTCTTTTATCTACCGGTTTTATTCAATTATCAGTGGCTTTGCTCTTGCTATTCGTGCTCGTTGACACAGATGTCATCGATGGTTTCGTATAACTAAGTTAAAAGAGAGAAAATTGGAAGAAAAGAAAAATAAATCACTCGAACTAAAAATAATGTTGATGCGAACGCACATCATGTGTGCTGCCATTCATGTAATATTCATTATGCATCAACATGCTAATACATTTGAGACAGCTATATTTTCTTCTCGATTCGTCAGACAAGTGTCAAAGTACGTGAAAAAGTGAATAAAACACTGATACAAAATTATATTGGGAAAGTGGAATCGTAATTCTTTTTCCAATACAAAAACCATGATGTAAGGTTCTGATGCGAAAAAATTACAATGACGAGCAATCCAGTGAAGTTGCATTCCAGAAAAATAAATGATTTGTAGTGAATCTTCGTACGATTTCTTAGAGAAAAAGTTTTCTGAACGTAGAATTAATCATCTTCTAAATTTCAAGAAATACGACAATCAAGCTATCGGTTAATTAAGATTTCAGAGAACACATTAATAAGGGTAGAAGATCTAACAGCAGCAAATTATGCATTCATATACTCTTTTTCTTCTATCCCTTCTACTATTTTTAAACTAATATATCTGATAAGAGATAAGAAAAAGATTTCAATTATTTGAAGGGACTCTCTTTTGCCGTTTAAACTATATTATAAAATGAAAATGTTTAAATGGTAATATATTGTCTGGAGAATTTATTTAGCACAAGAAATGATTTTCAAGATAAAAACCAGGATTCTTGTTAACATTGTTTAATGCTATATCAAACATGCTCTAAATAATCATTCATTTATGATTAAACTTCTAATTTTTTATAGTTGACCAGTAGTTAACTATTCTCTGTGTCAAAATTTGTGTGTGTAGGTATGGGTGTTATGAAAACATTACTCGCACTCACACCCGCATAATTCCTCGGTTTGTAAGTTTCGCTGTTGTCGGTTATGTTTGTCGTTAATTGAATCCCTGACTCTTGTGCATCATCTTCTGTCTTATAATATTCACGAGAATAATGACACTGATAGGCGAAAGATTTGTTTTCGACTTCTCCAGCGATTAAAATAAAATGGGAACTGCACACAGAATAGGACTCGATTTTGCAGTAAGTCATGCCATATTATTTGTCCAGAACAATGACGTGCGTATTTGATAATAATCGTACCATAATATAGAAAATGATAACTTTCTTTATCGTTTATGTATTATGAAATAAAGTTGCATTGTT